CTCGACATCCCCCCCCCCCAAAACAAGACAACCCCTCTTTCCTCTGCCGCCAAACGCCGCCCCGCCAACACCCCCCCATCAAAGGTGGTCAAGGTGCTCAACCTGGAGGAGGGCGGCGCCTTCACAGTGTCGGGCGCCGACACCATCCTCGAGGCCCTCGGCTGATGCACCACAGCCACGCGCCGGGCCCCCGGCGGCGCCGGCCGCAGGCAAAGGGGGACCCCTCGAAAACCGCGCCGCGCTGCGCCGCCCAGGGGCTCCCTCGCGGCCCGGCCACCATTGTCACCCGGGCCGCGGGGGCTTGGCACGAGGCCCGCCCGCAGCACGCCGCGGCTATCAACGCGGCGGCGGCGGCGCTCGGTTGCTCTGCGACCCTCTGGTCACGCCGATAGTGCCACAGCTTGCTAGTCACCACCGCGGCTTACACTCTTCCTCGGGCCTTTCTGTGTGTTCATGTGTGTATATGTGTGTGTGCAGCACAGCCTGGGAGGCACCTCCCCTCAAAAGCAGTAACCACCTTCCTCAATTGTGCAGGGGCGAAGCAAAAGTTCTGCTCGCAGACATCGAACCGCCAGCCCGCTTCGTCTTTAGTTACACCAACAGCGGCGGCCCGAGCCGGCCCAAAACAGCCCAAGCAACGCGGCAGAAACCACTGGCAGCCGGCTGCGCGGCAGCTGGCAATGTGCCGGGTGGCGGCTCGTGGGGTCGCAAGTCAATGGGGGGCGGGGGCATGAGCGCGCTCACGGCGCCCAAACAGCAAGAGCCCAGACCTCACCAACTGTGCTCAAGGGGTTGCAACGCTGACCAGCCAAATGGATGACGTCTTGGACGGTGTGCATGCCCGTGTGTGTATGTGTGTGAGTGTGTATGTGTGTGTATTGGTGTGTGCGTGCACAAAGCAAGGCGTCAACTCAATGGTGTTCGCCATAGCCGGGCGCAAGCTGCTCAGCACGGGTTGGCCGTGGCCGCCTGCGCATCTCAGCGCAAATGGCGTGTCTTGGCGCCGCCCTCAACTCCGCAACCATTAGGCGAGTCCACCGCAAACCGCACCCTCCTACGTGGTGGCGTGCAGCTGGCAGCCGTGGCAGCTGCAGCCGCCGCCACGATGGCCGCGCCCCGCCTGCCCAAGCTGCCCTGACTGCGCGCAGTGGGGGGCGTCGTGGCCGGCTGCTGCTGCTGCTGCTGCTGCTGCTGTTGGTGGGGGTGCTTTAGGACACTCTTGAGGGGAGGCGCAGAGGCGCCCTCGTCCCCGTCGGTCACCTGTGGCGCGTCACAGGAAGGGGAGGGGGGCATAGGGGTCGAGTCGAGCCCAGCCGCTCGCATCGCGTCGGCCGGCAGGCAGTGCCAGCCTCCAGGCAGCGCCACTCTGCCATCGCCGCGCGGGGTCCAGACGCGTCCCGCAAGATGCGCGGGGTCAGGTGGGTGCTGTGCATGTGGACTTCGACACAGGGCCCCGCACCTGCCGCAGCGCGCGCTCGTCCTCCGCTCCGGCCGCGCGCCGCCTGACGCGCGCCAGCCACTCCCACTCCAGCCGCAGGCGCGCCTCCAGGCGCGCCGCCTCGTCCGGCGTGCGGCGCGAGAAGAGCAGGCTGCGGGCCGCCGCGTACCTTGAGAAGCCGCGCAAGTGTGTGTTTGTGTTTGTAAGATGGTGTGTGTGTATGTGCGTGTGTGTGATTGTGTGTGTGTGTGTAAGTGGGACACAACAACATTTCACTCAGATCAGACCTTCAAGCTTGGGTGCGCTCGTATTCCCATACATGTGCTCAACCCCAAACTTGGCTTGAAAAGTATTGTACGTGTTGGACATTGACTTCTCATCGGTGCACCAAGGTTAGCCCAGTCGTGCCTGGCAATCAAATGCCCCAACGGCCAGGCGCGCCCTGCGCCGCCCGACGGCGCCCCCAACCCCCCTCACCTCTGCTCGTGCGCCGTCACCGCCGCCGCGGCGCCGCCCCTCTCGCCCCCCAGCTCCAGCGCCACCCCGTCCATCCCCAGCCGCGCCCACGCCGCGCCGCCGCCGGCCGCAGCCGCCAGGCGCGCCTCCAGGAACGCCACCCTCAGCCGCTGCTCAAGGG